ATAATACTTTGGCGGGAAAACACCGTTGCAATTACATCCGTCGCTATCCTAACCGCGAACTGATTACGTTTATCCGCTTAAAGCTCTGGTATTTTCCTGTAACGTCCGTGAAACGGAAATACCATTTCGAATACAAACCTACGATATCCTCGATAATGTTCGTAGATATTAAAACACGTGGCAATAACAGGATGTGTCAGAACAGAAACAGAAATTTCAATTATAAATTCGGTGACACAGTGAAATTAGATACGAAGGATGTTAGTATAATTTTTGTAGTGCATACTGTATTATTAATTATTATTATATTTTTTACTATATTGTTATATGGTATTCTATTATTACTTATTATTATATCATTTTATTAATATAATAATGAACTATTGAATTTATCATATAATATACTATATTTCTAACAATTACTATTCTCTAATCATATTATTCATTATTGTTTTATTATATCGTTGCTTGTTATTATTGAATTAGTGTATTTCATCGTTATTGTATTACTACATAACATACTGTATTATTGACTATTTCTGTATTGCAGATTATTGCTACATTATATATACTGTATTACTATATAAAGTAGCACAGAATACTGCATATTTTTGCCTCTTACATAATTTATTACTGAAATCTAGTTTTGTCACTAGATTACTTGATATTTATTCGTACATAGCTATAGCATAAGTTATATCCCACAAAGGAAAATGATTCTATCGCGTGAAATCTTATATATATTCATAACTCGTTACACTGTTTGCTTCCTGTTTTAATCAAAATAATCAGATGTCTTAATTACACTTTACTCTCTGACAATTACCGCGTATTTCAACGATACTCTGAATATTTAAAATCTTCCATTTTTGTTTTTCGATCCTGCAATCATCGATCTCGGATCTCTCGATTACCATTTGTTGAATGTTAAAAAGAATGTCTTGCCACAAATTTTTGTCATTTAGACATTGAAAATAATTTTTAAAGCTACGAGTGCAACAATGTCGGTGGATATGTATGAAAGACATACATGCAACGACAGAAAAATGGTCAGAGAGTTTATATAAGTGTATGCAAATAAATAGTGCCTTGGAATAATTTGAAGAATTTTTATGTCGCATTTTTTTCTCACGGATGGAAGATACCCACTGGTTCCTCGAAGCTTTTATTTCGCCTTATTTGCTGCTACATTGTGTTACTTTCACCAGGGACTGTATTTATGGCACTGGTTTGTACAGTTACAATTTTATTCGGGAGTTTCCATAAATTGTAAGACAGTTGAAACGCATATACATTTCTGCACGAGAGCTGTAGAAAGGCGGTGTAATATTGCTGGAAAAACTACATGGTGTTGAGACTTTGCTCAGGAAGTATATACATTCCGTGATAAAGTGCACCGTAGACATTACATTCTGTACGAGTGAAGAAATTTGTAACGCAGCTGCAATCTGAGAACAGCTTTCACGATCACCTTTTAAAAACTGACAATTTCCTTACGACTTTATACAGTCTTTTTTACTCCAAAGAAATTTAATCAAAAATTTGTGCAATTTTAAAAACCGTAATATCAGTTTCTTTGGAATCACGTATAGTTATAAAGATGGTAAAAGGGTATTTCAAATTTGAAAATAAAAAATTCGCAACATGAGACATATATAGATATTAAAAATAATTAATACATTTGTTTAAAGAAAAAACCTAATGAACTACATTTGAAAGCACTTTCAAAATTACTTAATATTAATTTTGTCAAACACTTGTGTGACAATTTGACAAGAAAAATAACAAAATATAATATTTCATCCGAAGATAATTTAAAAATAAAATAATGATTTTAAATTGTCTGGAATGTAACATGTGGTCCATGTTCTGATCTCGAAATCGAAATAAACTTCAATTTCCAAATAAAATTTTATTTTAAACAAATCGGTTACAGATACTTTACCTTATTTATTATTTCAAATTAATTAACCTTAAATTTTAATATAAAATTTATATATTATACAGTACATGTTAATATATTAAAATACAACTAATTCCTATTGTTTTAAACAAGTTAATTACACACATATATTGCCTGTGACATATTATTATACCTATTTCTATAAATTATTACTAAAACCTACAAAATTCAGTCTCCTAAACTCTCTACAAATTCCCAGAAAGGCATAAATTTATTACAATCACTCGTGCCATAAAAATCTTATAAATTATCCAAATTGTACAAAATTTCTCCTAAAAGTACTCGTCATTAAGACACCTTTCTCGCTGTTGTTCTCGCAAAGTTACACACTTTGTAGCAACCTTTGTCGCTCGGAATCGTCATAGGCCGCAGCAATATCCCTGTAACATTCAGTAAGGCGGCAAGCGAGGAAAACTTAGCTCGAACCACAACATTCTATCGTGGACCGTCACATAACACGAAACTTTCCATTATATTGCAATAAAGTTGCGTCGACAGCGATACGAGCAGCGTATTTATTTTAGCCCGATAAGGATCTGAGCCACTGCTAGGGGAAACGCGACCAAGTATTTCCTCTTGCTGGAAACGGAAGTGGTTCACGTTCGAGATAAGTAATTCTCTTTGACTATTCGGCCTTGTTTGTTCGCCAGTCTAGACTTTGCTTCGTCACCGACAACTTCGCCACCACTTTTCGTTCGTATCGTCGTGGCAGCGCGTAAATCTTCCGCGATTACTGTCCCGACGGATACTCCCTTGGAAGCTTTGACATCTTCCAAACGACGGATTTCAGAATCCACCGAGATTGCTATGGTAAAACGTCCTGCCGACTTATTGGACTACCTTGCAACACGGTAAAATATTTCTTCGAATTTCTTCAAATTTCTTCTGCGATTTTCGAGTTCCTCTGAGTCTGTTGCAGTAGGTCATGGTGCGTAGTGAAGAGATAGTGAAAAGTGATAAATGTTGACCTTTTTAGAACTATTTTTATTATTTTGTTTTTAAGTTATTTTTGAAAAATTGAAATCAATTGTAGCAGGTTTCTTTATTTAATTAATATTAGAGCAGAGTATCCAATCAGATTGCTATGGTAAGAAATTTTTCTACGTCCTTTTGGAATTTTTGTGTTCTGGGTCTGTTGCAGTAGGAGATGTGTATAGTGACGAGTAAGTGAAAAATGACGAATGTTGACCGATATTTCATTCCTTTTTAAAACATTTTTGAAAAATTGAGGTTAGTTTTAGTACGTTTCTTTGTTTAATTAATATTAGAGCAGAGTATCCAATCAGATTGCTATGGGAAGAATTTTTCTATTCTCTTTCGGAATTTTGGTGATCTTCTGGGGCTCTTACTAATTACAAGATGGTGCATAGTGAAAAGATAGTTGAAAGTGACGAATATTCTGACATATTTAATACAGTTACTCTGTGTGTTGATTCTCCTCCAGAAATTTTTGCGAAATTAATATTAATTTAAATATTATATGTTTCTGTATTTAATTATTATTACAGCAAAGGGATTTAAATTGCTTTACTAAAATATTTTATGGAATTTTTTCTCCTTTCCTTTGGGAAATTTGAATCCCTCCTTTCAGGAATATTTATTAATACTCTAATGAATGTTATGTATTTATTTAAATTTTATTATTGCGATTTATGTTTTATATTTTCTCAAGAAAAATTGAAGATACTACGATTAGTTTAAATATCATATATTTCTGTATCTAACTATTATTTATGCAGAAAGTTTTGAAAATCCTTCGAAATTTCTATGATAGACTCTTAGGATAAAACATTTTAAATTAATTTTATTACCTATACCAATATGAATTTTTTAAACCAAATTTTAAACTCACATTTCTGGCTAGTTATTTAACAAGCATTTAACGGATTCTTCATAGATTATTCATCGTATATATTTCTCTGTAATTTATATCTCTGTATAACAACATTTTCCCGTAGTAAATTGTCTGTGGAAGACTAATGTACCATAAAGCATTCGGACACACAAAGGCAGCAGCAGAGGTATTTTCCAGAGGAAATCGGCGTACATTTATTGCAACTTTTAATGAGTACATCTTCACAAAGCAAAACTAATTAATCGGAAGCGTATTTTATTTGACTCACTGAATTCGTTGTAGCTCGTATCTTATCAGGATGCACGGTCATAAAAATCAAGCCGACTTCATTTATAGGAACGAAGTGTCTGCGCTTAATGATCATCAATTAAACGATTTCCTGCTGCCTTCTTCCGTCAAACCTACAAATTTTTCTACATATACACTCTCTCTCTCTCTCTCTCTGTACGTTAATAATTTATGAAACAATCAACTGGTAAAAACAGCTTTTGTTACTTCGAGATATACGAGAATTAACCGAATAATTATCCTGGATCATTTCGTGTAACATTGGACCAAATTGAGGAAGTCAGTTTCACTCGGAAGCAGTAAAATGAATTTAAAAATATATTCCAAAATTATAATTTATATTATATTACCCCTGGCAAAACGTTTTCATGAAAAAATAATTCTTTAGATATAAAGTGTAATAATATAAGTATAAAAGGCATAAACATGTCATATCAATCTGGTACGAATTAAAAAGATGAAAACTAATTTAATCTTTTGTTTATTATTGACGAGAAAATATGGAAAAAATCATTATCGTTACATTTGGCTGAAAACATTTTGCCAGTTTAATATAATAATTTATAAATAGAAAATACATTTTTTCAGTATTAATACTAGTAAATAATTTTTTAATACTGAGTACTAATACTAATAAATAATTTGATATTAGGACGATATTGGAAGGTTAATATTAATGAAACGGAAGTTGCAAAGTTATGAAATTAAAATCGAAATTTGCCACGCGTTAAATTAAAAATTGAAATACAGTTGGGCTTATTTTAATAGGTAATCTGTTGATAAATTTGCAAACGATCATTTCCTCGAGCTTTAGATTCGTGCTTGACAGACCCATTTTGAATATAAGTCTGGCCAACACGTAAGTTTGAAAATCTTTGTATGACTTTTTTGCAGGTCGGCCTTGCAGACGTTGCACAAGGTGTCGAGTAAGGCACGCGAACAGAACTACTTCCTGGGTGGCCTGTCACACGACTGGGTCAGTTACTATGAGCAACGAATCGAGAGCGATCGCTCGTGTCTTAACGAGTGGCATGCTATGGACAACCTGGAATCTCGAAGACCACCGTCGCCGGACAGCGTACGCACCAAGTGAGTTCCTTCATTCCTATCCTATTTATGACAATTATACTTACCCCATAGCTTGTATTCAATTCGTTCCGTCCAATTATACGTGAACGACAAATCTCGAATTAGGAATCATGGTACTTGAAATTAAATATTTTCGAGCTTTCCAAATACCCCAAATGACGAACCGCCAATTACGAATGGCGGCCGAATCTATTACTTGATGAATCAAACTGATCCTCAGGTGCACAGGTACCATGTGTGAAAATTGCGTAGGTGTTGGTCACGTGGTTCGAATTTTACAGCGTTTCAAAGACTGAATATATGGGACTGAATGTGTCGGCATTTGCAAGCTACTTTTGACGCTACTGCGAGCTTCCTAGTGAAACTAGGAGTGCGAGCTTTGGGTCTGTGAGAGCTTTCAGTGTGCCCTACTAGCACATATAACTTTCGCGAGCTTTCGAGCTTGCGAGATTTTTTGCTGATTTTTGCTCGACAAATTCAGGTCTGAGAGCTAGTTGTAAAAGATCCAAGAAGTGGTCTACCATCGAAACAGTTCCAATGAATGCGGTCATTTCTAAGATTTTCATGAACAATACTTTTGCATCCAGGACGTAAAATTTTCTGTTAATTTTGCGATTTTGTAGCAGGATAACGTAACGTTCTAGAATGTGGCTCACTTACTTACCTTACTTATCTTACTTACCTGAAGTTATCCAATTGACATACTATTTCATTGCATACTCTTTATTTTCAAAGTCGAATAGAATCATGGAAAATTTACAAGAAATAGGAAATATCTTACGCTTATAATTAATTTATTATTGACTTATATGTATTCTACAATTAATTTATAAGTAATTTATGTCTAATTTATGACTAACGTATAGCTAATTTGTAACTAAATTATAGCTAATTTATAACTATCACTTATAACTATTATGTAGTGTTTCAGCTTTGGTGCGTAGCTCTTAGCTTGGTACGAATTTCAAAGAGTAATCCTTGAAAATTCTACCAATTACCAGGTCTCACCACGTGGAGGTGGCTACGCATCGAGACCCGACATGCGCCCTAGTGGCGCAGCCTGCTGGCGCTGTCCGTATCAAAGATACCCTAATCTAACTTGAAGCGAATTAAGTTAAATCGACTCTACTGGCACTTTATTAAATATCGTGTCTTACAAAAGGGATTTCGACTCGGTATACTAAAACTCTACTGTCGCAACGCTAAGATATTTTCAAGTTCCCATAAAAATAGGGAATGAAATATCAAACACGCGAGAAAATAGAAAATCGCGACGCGCCCGAACGAGATCGCGATTATTCGAAAGACCGACTAGCCTAGGCGATGTACTCCCGTGTACAGAGATAACTTCATACCTCGGCACCCTCCCGATCGGGCCTAGCTCAATTCCAGTCACTGTCGCACTCGCCAAGACTTACACGTGGACCAAGGATAGTCCCTGAACCAATGAAACTTCTAGTGTCAACGCGAGGGCCCTGCTGGGCGGTTGCCGGCCAAGACAGACACTTCGCATCCCAGCCACACGGGGTAGAACTTAATCATCCCTGTGGTCTAACCGTAGATGGTACTAGTCCGTCAGCCAGCATGTGCCCGAGCCCAAGTCGCGTACGACTTAGGCAGCGGACCGCCTCGTCGAGGTCAGAAGACGCACTGATCCGAGGGGGTCACCCTGGAACCCGATGCATGACGAGATTGACAGTGACTGGAAATGAGTGTCGGAGACGATTCGTGAGGATGACTTACGAAGCATGTACTTATCAAGTACACGAGAGCACGTCGCGTAGGCTAGTCCGTACTTAAGAAAAATCGCGATTATCGCGAGAACGATTACGTTCTGTTTGGTGAACGAGAGGGATGAGAAAGAACGAATATAGAATGGATACATTCGCTTCAAGTTAGGTGGCTTACCTTTATACAGACAGCGCGCACATGGGACTTAGCCTAACAGTCTATCTTATGACTACTTAAAGGTAGACGCATGCATCCCGCGTCGTTAATTGATGCGTTACAAGTAAAGTCTTGAGAAAACTTGAGAATGTTAAGAAACCTAAAAGCTAAAACAGAATATATTATTGTTAATGTGAACCTGAAAGGAAACGGATTAGTACGAGGAAAGAAAACGAAAGTGAAAGAAACGGAAACCATGAAGGTTAATAACCAAGTGGAACGAGCAAGCCAACGACGAGACCTAAGCAATCCAACGACGAGACAGAAACATCCCAACGATGTGATATAAACAAACGACCGAGGAAGCGCTCGAGTATTGTACGAAATACTCGAGCGCTCTAACGAAAACAAAGGGAACGGAAACATAAAATCTGTAATATAAAAGGTAACTAACACCTGGAAGAAAAATTAATTAGTACCTGAAAGAAGAAATTATTGTTAAATTATGTAAAGGAGTGGACAATGGCTACTGAACAGCCATTGATCTAGCCAACGATGAGACATAAATAAACCAACGACGAAGCATTCGAATATTATACGAAATATTCGAATGCTTAAACAATGAAAAATAGAATGTTAGAAATAAAATCTGAAAGAAGAAATATAATTAAATCCTGAAAAAGAAAATAAATTAGACATGGAAATAAAAATTGACAACCCAACGACGAAGCATTCGATTATTGTACGAAATTGTCGAATGCTCAAATAATGAAAAATAGAAGGATAGAAATAAAATCTGAAAGAAGAAAAATAATTAATACCTGCAAGAAAAAGTAATTAGTACCTGGAAGAAAAAATAATTAGTACGCGGAAGAAAAAATTATTTAAGAGGTTGGGGTGTGGGTGTAGTGTACAGTAGTTATCGACTAGCCAAATGGTCTAGTCAACGACCACTGATAACTACAACCTCACTTTCGGAACCCCTTCCCCACCGAAAAAATTTTGACGCGACTCTTACGAAATCGAACCGACAAATAGCTCGAGCGTCGACCGCGAGCCCCCTTATATACCGGCGGCCGGCCGAAGATCGGCGGAAATTTCCGAAATTTACCGATCCCTTTAAAAATTACTTTTTCGCTATAATAACCAATAATTTATCAAGTTTTTTGATTTTTATCGTTAATATACGTTGCAAACTATTTGTTTGGTACAATTTTAATTTGTTATTGGCAACAGGTGTAGCAATTTATCAACGTTCTACAAATAATAAATTGCAAATAATAGACACTTCAACACAAACACGTTATATGTACTAGTAATAGCCAATAATTTATTAATTTTTCACTTTTATTATAAATTTACGTTGTGAACAATTTGTTATTAACAATATTAATTTGTTATCAGTAACATATTTGATTATTTATGCGTGTTTTATATACTAAAACTGCATTTGCACCTCCATGGGATAAATTTCTATATGTATACGTTTGTCAAAATATTTTTATTTCCTCTATATTTTTTTAAAGTCAGGTTGGAGTTTATTTTTTAACTGCTTTATATTAAAAAGTCATTCGTATTTAGGTCTCGAATAACGAACCTGTTTCAAATGACAAATGATTCAGAGAAATTTCTTTTAATATGAAAGTACAAATATAATAATTTAACATATTGACGTAATAATTTTACAAATCATAATTTAATAAAATACTATAATAATTTTTTTCGAAGTTTAAATTATCCTAAATTCGAAATGTTGCCTGACTTGAAATTGCGATGAACCAGATTAAGGAAGAAATTTGCAACAGTACACGTGTGTCGAATATTGAAAAGTACCACAATAAAATTGTCAGAACTTCCTTGTTTGACGTGATGAATCATCGTGTTATTCCCGTAACCTGTTTATGAGTTTAAACCTGGAAAATGTATCGTAAAAGCTGCTAGGTCAGTATGAATACAGCATTTGAAGAAGCTTATGTAAATGTTAGGACAGCCTAACGTTGATTTATGGAATTCAAAGACTGATGATCTTTCAATGAGGAATTAGTTAAGAGAAAGAGTCATAAAATACCATTAACAGTGATGCTTTATGAGAGATTATTGAAGATGATCCATGACAAATAGTGAACGAGATAATATTTCAAATGGGACTAAGCCACTCCACGATTATTAGTCACATAACACAAATATCATAAGTAAAGAAAACGATTAAAGGGGATCAGCAGGATGACATATAGAGGACAAAATAAATGGGAATAATCGATTCGTTATTTCGACGAAATATATAGAATTTAGGAAAATGTGAATTTCGAATCCCGAACCCTGAATTCTAATTCCTAATTCCAAACACTGAATGGTGCATTATATATCCTGAATTCAGAATCCTGAATTTCGGGTTTTAAATCTTGGATCTTGAATTTCAAATATTAAATCTGGTATCTCAAATCCAGAGTCTTGAATGCAGAACCTAGAATTCAGAATACTCTTTCTTCCTATACCTTAAATATTATGTACCTCTCTGTCTGGTTAGGCTACTTATTCGTTAGTCACGAACCTTGTCACTTAGGTCTCAGTCACATTACGTCTGCCAAATACTGAAGCATCGAGCCCTCGTTAATGGATATCTTGCCCATAACAGCTACTTAAATGATCAGCGAAACACGTAATAGACTTTCTCAAGATTCACATCTGCCTGGCAGCCAAATGGTTAAAGAAAATTATTAGATATTCTGGGACGATTCACAAAGAAGTGCCAAAACTTAACGAGACGGAAACTCCTCGCATAGGCTGAGTACTGCATAGGTCTATTTATCCGAGAATGCTTGACGGACGTTGAATTTCGCGTATTCTTTTGCCGGCATTAACAAAATCGTTGCAAGCGAAACAAAGAATCGATCGTGGAACAGCTGGCCTTTGATGCGAATTTAACTTGGTGCTTTGCCAAAGTCGATGGTTTGTTGACATTTCTCTGGCATCCCTGATGATAGCTTGCACACGATCGGGGCATACCTTTATTGCCATTCTTCAATTATTCCCAGCTTTTGCGTCTTTCACGTATCTCGAGGTGTCAAACTTAGTTTACTACATCTCGAAATTAATTTTGAAACCTTCAAATTTCAACGTTATTAAATCACTCAGTGTCGCGATTTCGAGTTTTAACAACTGAAAACTTCCTGTTGATACGCGAATAGCTAAGTATGTAACGTAACACTTCCTTTTTTAATTTTGACATGGCTATAATAATTGGCATCGTTCATGACGAATTGTACATTTATCCATTTAATTGGATGCCCTTGTTTCAGTCGAACGTGACTGTGCTTCAATGAAAATGACTGATATTTCATGCGATTATACGTGTTTGCTTAGCGAAGTTGGCATAGTTTTATCAATGTTATATTTATCAACTCCGGTAAGTTAGATCTTTGCCAATATTATATTTAGCAACTTTGATAAGATAGACCTTTATCTATATTAATTTACCAACCTAAAAAGGGTAAACCTTTATCGATATTAAATTCACCAACTTGGGAAGAGGGATCATTCCAACTCCCTTGAGCAGATTCGCAGTAACTAATTAATTAAGAAAATTTGATATAGCACAATTTACATATCGATTATTCCATCTGAATACGAGAAGCGTCTGATTAAAATGTGGTTCCAATATTTCTTAGGTTTATTCAGGTGAAGGTACATTAAATTGACGAAACGTTGAACTTAACATTTAAAATTTGAAATAAAATATGGAATAATTGGTATAATATTGGCAGATTTTGTTGTATCTTGGTTGATTCATTATCTACGATATTTTCTTTTCCAGACATTAACGAAATCGAGTACTTCGATTCCAAATTCGAGATAATTTATTGCTCCAAATTTCCATATATAAATAAAGTAGAGTGCATGAAAGTATACAATTTCTATAAAGTATAAATAAAGTATAAGTGTCTCAGAAGAAATCTTGCAAGGACAGTAATTTTACGAGTTCGAGTCTAATATTTCTTGAAAACGGGAGGTATTCTTGAAAACATGTCCTTTAAGAAAAAAGGAAGAGAGAAAGAATCGATTATTTGACTCTAAGTAGTACAAGACCCATTTAATGCGACAGAAGTCTAATAAAATACCTTCGTGTAATGTGCTCTCTGGGATCACTTATACTTCATTTATACATGGTATCGATTCTTTTTCTAAATACGTATCTTTTGATCACAGACCCAGAGAAAGGGACGAGACTGAGCGCGTGATCCGATCGACGTTGAAGGAGATCATGATGTCCGTGGACCTCGATGAGGTAACCTCGAAGTACATTCGAGGTCGTCTCGAGGAAGACCTCGACATGGATCTCGGGGAGTTTAAGCCATTCATCGATCAGGAGATGCTCACCATTCTGGGTCAGATGGACGCGCCGACTGAAATATTTGACCACGTTTACCTAGGAAGCGAGTGGAACGCGAGCAACTTGGAGGAGCTCCAGAAGAATGGGTGAGTTCCTTTCTTCGCGTTGCTCGAGATCCTCTGATCCTTTTAATACCCTCCAACGATATATAGCCCCTTTTAATATCACTGGACGTGTCTTTGATCGGAATCTTCCTCTGGTCCACTTCTTAGAAGCTTCTGAAGATTTAGTGGAGACTCTGACAAGATTGCTTAACAATTTCTTTATTTATAATCCACCCTCGATAGTGAAGATCACTGAAGACGTTTGAAGATGTGCTCTGACCTGATGTGTTCATCGTCAAAGCAATTTTTTGAGACCTTTCATCGAGATCACTCGTGAATTAACACTAGAACATATAACGAGTGACTAAATATATTATACACGAATGATAATAAATCTCGTGGTGCGATAAAACTGAGTAACTTATATACGGGGTGTTCCTGATAGCTGTGTACCAGCAAGGATCAGGTAATTTTTTATAAAAAATATGAAAGAGATATAGAATATATTTCGTTTGTATTATTAAGATAGAATTAAAATATAAAAATACAGAAAAAAGAAAGTCAGAAAATATTAAGCATATATGTATTGGGTTGATGTTCAAAGTGCCAAACCAAACAAAGCAACTGGTTTCAGATTTTTCGTTTCTTGTAATTGTTTAAAATATACAGCTGTTTGTGGAAAAATTAATTTTGACGTTTATTGTGATGGAATTAAGTTTGTGCATACCTAGTTATTGTCATATAATATATAATGTTAGTATATTTTCAACCGTCAAGTAGAAATACTATCCTTTTTTCAAGGAAAAACAGTATGAATTCAGTAAAGAAAAATATGAAAAATTGGAGAGCGTAAAATTCGTATTACCTGCTTGAGCCACGATTTTGTGACAGGAACGATGACGTGTGAATGCTCGCTGTCATGGTGTAATACTCAATTGTGTTCCGAATGTAGTCGTTTCTTTTCGAGCATACTCTTTAATTACGTGTTTCAGAACGTGACGTACGTTTCGCTCGTTGCATTTGGTCACCTGTAAAGAAATTACGCAATTCTGTACATATTACGTATTTTATAGACTCAGTTTTAGAAATTGCGGACTTATGAGGAAACTAATATAATTTCATCAAATTTTCGCCACATAGTTCCGTGTCACGTAGCTACAGTAGGTTAAACAATTTAAAATAAGCAAAAGAGTTGTTTTCTATTCATAAAGGATTACACATGTATCTAGAATATCTCTATAGGACCCTCACAGAACTGACTCTCTTGCTCTTAGGATTCTACCTATTCCACTCCATTCTATTCCCACATTAGTCACTCGTTCTCGCGACTTTTCTTTTCCAATATCTCCCATTAGTCCATTTCTTAAAGGTTTCGAGTCTTCTTCGTTCACCAGTTGTTTGACCATTGTGACCATGATAGGATTAGTATTAAGAGGATCGATTCCCTCCAAACTTGTCAATATCCTTACCCGTGTTTTCATAAATTTTCTCCTACTAAGAACTATCTTTTATGTTTCTAAAAACAGTGTGAGGCATATCCTGAACGTAACACGGGAGATTGACAACTTCTTCCCCGGGATGTTCACGTATTTGAACGTACGCGTGTACGACGACGAGAAGACCGACCTGCTGAAGCACTGGGACGACACGTTCAAGTACATTACGAAGGCGAAAAAAGAGGGTTCGAAAGTGCTGGTACACTGTAAAATGGGAGTGTCCAGATCTGCCTCGGTAGTGATCGCGTACGCGATGAAAGCGTACAACTGGGATTTCTCTCAGGCCTGGAAGCACGTGAAGGAGAAAAGGAACTGCATCAAGCCTAACAACAGCTTCCTGCTGCAGCTGGAAACCTACCAGGGCATACTGGACGCGATGAAGAACAAGGAGAAGCTTCAGAGGTCGAAGTCGGATACGAATTTGAAGTCTCCTACCTCCACGAAGGATCAGTCGAAGAAGGAGGAGAAGTCTGACAACGTGGACAATGGTTTGCAAACTGTTTCGGGCTCTGAACTGAAGAAGACCAGCCAGAGGCCGAAGAGTTGGTCGCCGAACGTGAAAATAACTGAAACCATGTTGCCTTCTGGTATGTTATCCTTCCTTCGGTTCCAATTGTAGATATTTTCCTATTGAAATTTCAATATTTCTAATATTTCAGTTTGCTCCTTTAACGAATGAAGCATATTGTACGATTTAATACGACAGTTAAAAATGAAACGTGTATAATATTGCATTTGTCCACCTTACATTCACTTGTTGTAATCAACTAATTTATTTATCTGTCTGAAACATTCGAAAATCTCGACCCATCAAACGTCGTGAAATTAATTATATTCTTGTAAACGAAATATTACACGGTAGAAAAGTATCATAAATTGAATGACATTGATAAGCTCAAGCGTGATCCATTTCTGGTTACAGTTCCTCTTTCGCAATCCCTCGAGAGCATTGACAAGGCAGGGAGCACGGAAGTGACCAGGGAAGACCTCCTCCGTTCCAGCAACCAGAAGGCTAGCATGCCGCAGGAAGCCAGGAACGTGCTGATGCCGTGCGGCAATGGACAATCTTACAGCGTGTCGCAGAACAAGATAGTCCATCTGCCAGGTCCCTTGCCTGACACGCCGAGCGTGAAGAACCGAGTTAGCAAGTTAGAGACGCAGCAGGGCCAGAGGAGGAAAGGGTTGGTACTGAACCTGACGAATCAGTTCGAAGCAGTGAGCAGCAAGCCATCTTCCCCGAGCTCTGACTCTGACGGGAAACCGTTGCCACAGAGTCCAGTCTCCAGTGTGAACGAGAATGGACTCGGTATGCAGCAGCCAACGTCAGAAGCGTTGACAGCGGTCTCCCTGAAGCAAAACGTGTGGGATCCCGGCGAGAAGCAATGCAAGAAGACGGAAATCGGTAGTAATAGTGAATGTCTAGTCTGGACTGCATCATCGTCCGATGCAACATGTACCAATTCGTGTAGTAACGCTAAGACTAACGGGGAAGTGAGTGCGGAGAGTGAGTGTGTCGCGATGACGACGACGACGACGACGACGACTGTGTACCCTGGCACGTTGCCGCGAAAGGCCAGGAAAGATGGGGATCCGTTTAGTACGCACGTGGATCGAGTGTTCGACCGCGAGGAAAGGCAAGGGGAGCCGGTCACGAGAGACTCTCCGAGCCGACAAAGCTCTTGGAGCAGTTACGACAGTGCCGTGGTCCTCGACAATAATTCGGTGCACAGTTCCTGGGCCACGCTACCGTCGAGAAACAGTTCCTGGGGCTCGTACGACATGCGGCCGTCGGATCTGCTCGGCTCCAGCGGCCTCTTTCCTTATGACAAGGAAGAAATACCCTGGCACCCGGGCACCGTGAAGCGTACCAAACAGAAACTCGAGGAAAACACCACCTCGGGGACCGTGAAACGCGTGTGCACGCAAACTTCCGACGCGGAAGAGAAGGACAGATTACCTGTGGAGGAAGAATCGTATAACCCGGTGCTCCTGCACCATACCGCCTCCCCAACGCCCCGAAGGAGGGACTCCTCGCCTAGCCACGAACACAATTTAAAGGTAGACCCTGCTAGAAATTCTCCGAGTCCTATCCGAGGAATCGACATCTCGCCAGCGTCGATTCGTCAAGTTGGAAGACTGTCGACGAGCGCCCCGGCGCCGTCTTCTCTGTCCTCAGACTCCGATCTTCCCTCGTCCTTGAGATCCTGCAGGTCGGAGAGCGAAACCTCAAGCCCGTGCGTGGTTAACACCACTCAATGTCCTTCGGTGAAGCATCACAAGATGGTCCTGGAGAACTTGAGCAACAAGTCGATATTCAACAAACGTTGTCTGTCCGTGGATGACTCGCCGGACACGGAGTGTCCCCGGAGTACCTCCGGTATCGTGAAGAATCTCAAGAAGGAGTTCGAGGCGAAGTCCACGAAGCTGGAGAAGAGTCCGGAGAACAGCTTCGAGAACGACTCGCCGATTTCGGTTGGTCGATCGAAAAGGGACGTAAAGATCAGAAGTTTACCCTCGTCGCCGGTGATCCCTCACAACGAGTCGAAAATTCAGGCCCCGTCCGAAACCAAAGAGAAAGAGAAGCCGAGCGTTACGACGGCGTCCACGCAGGATAGCTCGGAAGACCGGTCGGTCAGGGTCCTGGTTGGCAAGTACGAGGTGAAACCTGACTCGAGAAAGTCCTCGGAGATACAGCTGCGCGTGCACAAAGACAAGGATTGGGAGTCGATGGACTCGCAGCACACGGCCAATAAGTCGAAAGTGACTCCCGAGTATAGCAGAAGGTCCGCGCCGATCATGATCAACAATCACTCGTCGTCTCCTCTGTTCGCCGAAGCACCGGAAGCACCTGGCAGGCCACCAGTTCCCTCGGCCGGAGTTGTGGCAGCTAGTAAGAAACAGCAACAGCACGGCAGGACGCATCCTCTTGCCAGGCTGCAGGTCAGGCCTAGGCACAGCAGTCCGGTTTACAACACCATGTAAAAGGGAAACGTTTTGTGTTTGTTTCTCCCATTAAGTCGAATCTGAGCGCGCGTACCTGAATGCATGGGTATGTTGTCGTGGCCACGATGTGAAACTGTGTGATCTCTATTGATGCCAACGAGTCGAGGATCGTCCTCTTCGAGCTCGACGACAAATCGACGGGGACAGGATTTATATAGATTCGTTTCCCACCATCTTCGATGTACAATTTACTGTTCGCGAGAATGTCCTGTACTATGCTGTGCGACGATAAGACAGAGCACCCGTATTTTTTCGATGCTTCTTTAAACGGCAGAGTGTACAAGCTTCTCGCATTCGCGCGACAACGCGTCTGTCCTGTCGGAGAGAGCAAATTTATTTGCCAGCTTCTTGTGTTCGTTAGTCTTAGTATTTTGCTCGTGAAAATTTACGCGACTTCTATTATTTAATTTCCGTACGAGCGAGTATTAATTATTAGCGATGCCGAAGAGCAGCCCGAACAATCGCTTCTGATATGATGTTTTGCCCAAATTTAGCTAGAAATTAATGTAAATTGTATTATCATCGTCACACTATTTAACACTGTGTATTCGTCCAGCAGAGTATCATCGCGTGAAATATTTAATAAGCAGATAATAGGCAGTAGTTGATAAGCTATTTGCTGACTCGAATTAAAGAGAAATGGAAGGCGAGAACCGGCGAGTTTCTATGTCGTATCGATTTCAAGGGATATCGAAAAGATACAAGTGCCTTGTCCTACCGTCAACGACTGTGTATACATATTTGTAATAAGGCACGTTCAAGGTCCTTCAACGTTTTATGTTCCTTCTTCGTCAGACGTGTCTTGGCCTGCTCTTAATTAGTTCAATTATTTTTTAAGCTGGAAATGCAACAATTCTAGGAAAACGCGGAAACACTGTTATTCCTACGACGTATCGTCACCTATAGACCTAATGGGCTTGGAATCAAACGTGATGTGTTGTGTGCGGGGGTGTCGCGCAGAAGTTGGAGCCAGTGTTCGTGAACCGTGAACAAGATGGCGTCGGCTCGGTCAGGCTGTGAACGAAAGGTCCGGGCCCCGCGTATGTACTAAATATGCTCTGGCTCCTTCTTCTGTGCTGTTCGCGTTGTGATCACCGAGGCGTATGCGAGACAGAGATTCTATATAAAGAGACACCTCGGAACGACGACGTGTAACGTTAAGCTGTACTATTTAGTATTTTAGAGCAAACAAAATGTGATTAGGATGGTGCACAGTATGCGAGGAGACGAAAGTAGCGAAACCTCACTCTATCCTCCCGCCCTCTCCCCCCTGTAACAGTTGTTCCGAATCGTTCGAACGATTCGACCAGCTCGGCTCTCGTTCGACCAATCGTTATCGGTTCTTCTACTCTCTTTCTACTCACTTTGTATATTGCGTGTGAAGCATCGCCGCGTCACCCGAATTTCTTTCTTCTTTATCTCATTTTCGTTCTTCGAACCGACCTTCGTACCATCTTATATCCATCCTGTTTTCTTCTTTTTTTCCTTTTCTTCCTTTTTTTACTTTCTTTTTCTTTTTCCGTCTGTTTTATTCACCATTAACGATAATTGTCTGTCGAAGATTATACCGTAATTACAAGTTCAGAAAGTACAATGAGAAACACGGCTCGATATCAACGTTCGTCGTTCTTAGACATATCATCGGACCGTTTGTTCTTATTTGCATTCGCAAAGCCATGTCGACCAATTTTATACTACTATCCTGATATTGATGATGATGATGATGATAATGATAATGTTGATGTTGATGATGATGATGATGATGATGATGGTGGTGATGATGATGAATGCGAGGCTCGTTTTTTGATAAGATGCACCGCGACGACTGTGTGTGTAGAAATATATTTTATTACTGAGATAATTTTGCAAATAATTTCTCGTACGTTCATTCTAACCGCTGTTGTCTCTCGGACGAAAGATCCGAGGCGAGAAACGATCCTGAGAGCGAATGCTATCGAAATACTGTAACACGTTGAATTAGAATAAAAATGTTACATCGCCAATGCTGTGCTTTACGACTGAAACTAGGCACGAAACGGATTATATACGTTGCTTGTTTTCTTTTTCGAAAAGGAAATCGATTTTGTAAAGGCAATTATTTTAGATTTATTTATACGAAGCGGAAACGAACAGAGGGAGAGAATTCTTTTCATAAATTATCTCCGTGACGAAATTAATAAACAAATCTACACTGTGCGAATCGCTGTTTCTTAAGTCCACGTCAGAGCATGAAACGTTACAGCCACGATGCAAAAATCAAAACACTGATACACATTCGTGAAAAAGTTTAATTCTCGTACAAAACGATAGATCATCATCTGCACTTCGTTCCGAGCCAGATGTAAAATCGGCTGTCAACTCGGTTGAGCGTCAATCTCGAATATCCGCCTGCCAGCGCAGAACGCGAGCTGTGGTACCACGGATATGGTCCTCGTTTTCTTCGCGTGCTTCGGGTTCACCGGGCCGACGTCCAAGCTGTACGTTCCACCTCTTAAATTCCTGACCATCGCCAATGTCTAACGAAGAGACAATCGTCGTCGTCATCATCTGCGTAACGAGTATTGCGAGTGAACGAAATTCGAATGAGAATTATATACAGCGTGAGATCGCAAGTCGACCACTCTGAAGAGATTGGCATCTGTGCCGCCGCAAGCGATGAACATGTTTGACACGTATTTGCCACAGTAGAGCAGGGAAGAGTAGCTGTCGGGGTCCAAGGAAACGAGCAGTTTTCCGCTACCATAGTCCCACAGTTGGATGGGGTTCTCTCTTTGCCACGAGCACGACAGAATCTGTTCGCAGTAGCTGTTTGTTAAGGAAAACACGGCAACGTCTGATTCCTAAGCGGAACGTTAGGATGTGTAGTGTATTCTTTTAATAATTTGTAAAGTTTCTTCCTACACGATGTTTTTATTTTATTCGAATACCTTTCATTTAGATGGTAGATAAGGAGGATAAGAGTTACGTGCGAGATCGATGCATGATGACGTTTTAATCCTTGTAGGGTGATGATTATTGGGTCAATTTGACTCGACGCATAGAATAAAAAGAAATTCAGACTGAACTTTGATTTTATTTGATATGTTGCCGTTTTTTTTTTTATTTTTTTTATTTTTTTTTTTTATGTAAACTTTGCTGAAATTTAATAATTCTTTTGGCTCAAGATATATTTTTCCTTTTGCGTTTAATGAGATTCTATATTTTTAATTCGGCATTTTTGCAAGCTGCATCAATGATGCGTGATTTACAACAACATTGATGCAACTTATGGATAAAGTAGCGACCAAAGGCTGATGTGTCTGTGACACTAGATTCGTTTCTAAATTATTTATCAAGAAATATTTGTATATTTTTGTTTTTGGCAGACTCGTGATATATGATTTTTGTAAACTGGAGAGAGACTATAGCTGCTTTATAGATGCCATGCTACTGCCAAACGTAATTGCACTCTTTATGTAGAAATATGAATTTCGGTTGAATAAATCATTCTTTCTTTTTCCTCGTTCACCTGCGCATAGAACTTAAAAAATGATCTGTGAAAAATAAATTGATAACACAAAATTACAGTACCGTAAGATTAATTCGAGTGTTGATGGAAATGTGAAAATAAATTAACTAATATAAAGTTTAAATATAGTTAATCATATATATTTTTATATGCAAAATAATGGAAAAAAGTCGATTTATATACAGCAACTTAATGTTGTCATTAAAAAAAAAAAAAAAAATATGCAAATTCTCAAAAGATATATACTGCCCCCTTTAAACATTTCTCCATTTTTACTTGGAATGAAGCTATAGAATCATTCTTCTAAAAAAAGGAAAAAAACTAATTTATAAAACACAATTTAAATTTTATAAAAAAAAAAAAAAAAAAAAAATATGCAAATTCTCAAAAGATATATACTGCCCCCTTTAAACATTTCTCCATTTTTACTTGGAATGAAGCTATAGAATCATTCTTCTAGTTATTAGAATCATCTTCCTACATTAAATAATCATTTTCTTTTTATTATACTTAGGGAGTAGTTCACTGGGAACAGACAACCTTAACCTTTTTCAAAGAGTCAATGGTTATTGAGTAATAATAATAATTAATTAATAATTTCTTTTTTTCTAATGAAATAATATTCTCTTCTGATATTTTCCATGTGTATGGAAATAAAAAGAAAAGAAATTATTATAGCTATTCCTACATTTCCATTTTCTAATTATCAGAACGTTACAACTTACATTTGAATTCATTTAATTGCAAGTTTCAATTTCATTTTGCATCGAGCAAGGATGCATATGTTACAAGTGAATTTAAAGCCATCAATTGTATTTATGATAATCGTATTTGTCTCGTTCAGTTATTATTACTTCCCAAAAAATTGATGGTTTCGTTAAAAAGATGAAAAAATACTATTAACGTTCGAGAAAATAATTATAAAATAAATTTTCACTAAATTTTCACTATTTTCAATAAATTTTCTTACTTATTCCTTGTAATCTTGGATCCTCGGCTGTTATAGTAGTCTATTCCCAGTGAACCACTCGTTACATCGACTATGCAAATTTCACAAAGTTCATCGCATAAATAAAAGCATTACTATCCAACAGGAACTATTTATATTCGCATGAGAATATTTCGCTCTACCATCGATATAAACGACGTTAATCGAATCAAATTGGCCCACCGTTTACCACGCGAGAATTAACCATTGTATAATGTGAATTGTCCAGTGTCGCGTACCATCTCCGATTTAGTGGAGAAATTCGTGTTACGTGGACGAAAAGCGTATCGAGCAGGTGCGTCGTTTCAGGACCAGAATGTTATTTGCAAAATTGACTCCTACGTTTTTATACACTTGCAGCGTGAATAGAAAGCGTTAAGGTGGAAGCATTGACTTTGAATTATGGATTGCTGATGTCGAGCCCATCGCCGCACATATGCACACCCGATATGCGCCTGAGCGCGTACGGTTGCCTCGTGTCCCAGAACTGAATGGTGTTATCCCAACCGCCACTGATCAGCTCGTGTGCCGATTTCGGGTTGAAACACGCGCTGAACACTCTAGACTTATGACCGTCCATAACTTCCAATGACTCGCTAGAATAAATGAAAGAGAAGAATAAATAAATAAATGAGAAGAGACAGAGAAGAGAGAGAATATTTGTATGTTGAGATTATATCGTGGTTAAAAGAGGTCGCTGTAAGTGGAAAGATAAGAGTGCAAAAGGAGGTTATTACCGAATCGAAGCATTCTATGCTGGATTGTTGCGAGTATATTGTACGAATCGTGAGACGACCGCAAGCTGCAAGCCATTCTAAATTAC